GGTATGGGCGCAAAAATGCACCTTCGCCTGTGTAGAAAAAAATTCTTGCACCGACCCTGTCTGTAATCTGCTTAAAAGTATTCTCGATAATGATGTGAAAAGGAGACTAGAGCACCATCTGCTGACTGGTTAAAAGTCTCTGCATCATATTAATATTCACTTTATAATTTTTACCTGAAATATTCACCTGTTTACATTTTTTAGTTTTGATTTTATTAAATTGAAAAAAAAATGTACAAAACCACTAAACATTTTCTTTTATGCCTATATATTATTACTCCACTAGTCAGGGAGTACAGAAATTTGGTCTGGGGCACTATCAGTGCATACTTGCCAACATATTTATCCCTGTTCTGGGATGCTGTCATCCCCACCCATAGACCACACTTAACATGCCCACCTTCAGCATGGCCCCATTCCTAATTATTGGGGGAACACCCACTTGCAGCCCTAATACCCTCAGTAACTCAAAAAAGGGTGATGCTGTGATCCTGGGATGCAGACTGTGACACAGCATCATGTCAGTGCCAGGAGTGCTTTTTGTTCCCATTTGAACTTTCATTAAATGTGTTTGGATAGAATACAAATTTAACGTGCCATTTTCTAAAGATTGTTTTACCTTTCTTGAAAACAGTTCATAGCAGCACAATGTCCACCCCACTTCCACCCAGACAGACCGGTGAATTCATCACCGAGAACAGTAAGGATGTGTTTGTGGAGAGAGAAGGTGTACGCTCCCTTGCAGAGAAGCTGCTTGAGAAGATTGGACGGAAGGAGATCACTCTGAAGGGATGGAAAATGCTCCATGAGTTGAACCCACAAGGATCTGGAGAAGATGCTGTGAACTGGGTGTTTTTCGCGGACACCTTAAACTTTTCCTTCTGGTCAGAGAATCAAGATAAGAAGTACTTAGTCAGGTACAAGGGAAAAGAGTACAGTGGCTACTGGTCTTTTTGTGCTGCAATCAACAGAGCCTTGGATGAAGGTTGGTGAGACCAGGTGTACTCAAAATGATCTTTTTAATGAGCATAACTAAAAAAACCTTCTTGTTTTTGTCAGATTGAGCACTTAATTCTGTGAGGGTAAATTATAGGAATGACATTGCTGGTTTATATTAAATCAAAATGTTTACACAGGGGTCTATTTATAAATGTTTTCAGCAAAGATTCACACAACTTTCATTGATTCCTGCGGCTGTGGTCTGTAGAAGGAAGCACATAAATGTGTTGTTTGACCCCCAGGCTAGGAATTTCCATAACACACAAACATTTCACAGATGAACACTAGATAAGTAAAAGGCAGACTTCCCATAACAAGCACTATAGGGTGTGTTTATCAATGCTGTCACCCAAGATTCACCCACCTTTCATACAAAGATTTTATTAGAATATGAGTGAATCTTGGGTTAGATACACCTTATTGTTTTTTCATGGTTGTAGCCAGGGCCGGCCTTAGGGGTGTGCGGGCAGTGCGGCCACACAGGGCGCCATGGCAACAAGGGCGCCGTGCGGCCGACACAGCTCGTCCTGGGGGCGGCTTCTCTCCCCCTCACCGCTGGGCGCTGGCCATCCAATATGACAGCGCTCCCTCGTCCGCCCCCCCCCC